GTTTCCTGAATAAACACAGCAAAGAGGTGGTCCCTCTCCTCTCCTCTAAATTCAGAATTAGGCAGGAGGCAGATACAAACAAATGCAGGATCTCAACACTGAACTACGGTTTATGGTACTGGACAGTTCTTGCAGTGCTAGAGGATACTTCTGTCAGTTTACAAAAGCAAAGCCAAGGAAGATTCAGAGATGTCTAATATAAATATGTGACTAAGAATTTGGTATTTTCAAAACTTTTCCAAGGTTTTTAAGGAGCAGCTTTAATTATCACTGTTTTTATTTTTTTATTTTACTTACATGTGGCTTTGTCCCCTACATAGGAGATTTCTGATTCTGAGAATTAGCAGCTAGCCGTGGGATAAAGATAATCTATCAGCAGCACAGCAGCAATGCAGTCATGTTAGCTTTTTAAAGAGTAAAGCATTGTACGTGTTCTTGAGAACATGCTTTTCCTCCTTTAAAAATCAAAAAGTAGAGGCTTTCAAACAGCAGCGTGCTGGTCTAACAAAGTCACCTCTTGTGTTTTTCAAAAGCATATTTTTGATTTTCAGCTACATAGAAAGGACATGTTTTATCACTGTCATTGTGTATCAGTCAAACTTTAATACTGCTACAAGTGGATTTATGGTATGACATTATAGCTCTGGACATGATATATTCTCCACACATGATTTGCAGAAGTAATCTGTTGCTGTTCAATCAGTGCAACCTAAGTCAATTAGTCATCATACAACTACATATTCAGGATGATAATAAATTACTAGGGAAGTCATTAAAAAGTAGGAAATAAAAAGAGGCAGTGTTGAGACACTTATCACTGTTCTTTGTATCTCATTCTTGGACTCGTGTTTCCTGGAAATCTTTCCTCATGGAGAAGCAAGATGCAAATGTCTTTAAGATATGTGCTTTAAGAATGTGCTCAGTTAAAGGCAGATTTTCAAAAGCAGGCAACTTCCTGTGCACAGATCTGCGCTCATATATAGAAAAAGTTGAAATCTGTGAAAGTTTGGATTGCATGTGGATCAGTTCCACATAAGACAACAGTAAATACTGAAAATTGACTCTGTTCAAACATAGGCTTGAGCACTCTGCCTGCCTTTACAGCACTCAGAAGGACTGCTTCACTTTGACCTGACATGTTTTCCCCATGCAGACATCAGCGTAGCCTCATAAAAGGTTACTAAAATTCCTGGAGTAATTCTATTTAACACTTCCCTCAAATTAAAGTTATACAAAGATGAAAAAGAAAACAAAAGAAAAAGAATCTGTTTACAAGTTTGAATTTTCCAGTGAGCTCATGTAAAAGCACCCTTTCTAGGAGGTTAGGGGTATTTTGATGAGAATTGTATCTCCCATTTTATCGTGCTTATCCTTAAAACTGTGTCCTTTGAGATACAGATGTGCTTTTTATGTCCTCTTTTCATAGGAGAAATTGAAACACAAGAAGACAAAATGATTTGCCAAAGTTCAACAGAATGTCTCTGGCAAATAAAAGAACTTGCTTTTCTTTTTTTCTTACATAGGAATAACCACAATACCACTTATTGCACAATGTCTGGACCTAAGATAGAGTTAGATTATATGAAAGACGAAAAATTAGATTAAACTACTGGTGCCTTGTACATCTTCTGCATTTTAAATTTGGAGTTGTAATGTTCTTTTATAAATGGATTTTCCATCCCTTTTTAATCCTTGGATATTGTTTGGATCACCACACAGTTCTTCTGCCATGTTGTCTTTTTCACTGCATATATTGAATACAGGCTGTCACTGCCAATCAAGGAATTACTTGGGATGTTTCCCAAAATATTATTTTCTTTTCCTTAGTGACAAGAGCCTCTCATTGCTGTGACTTAGGATATCGGCATTTCTTGAACTCAGCAGAACGGTCCCACTTCACACCACCTAGAAATGTCACTGGTTATTACTGAAGAGTTTGTTCCAGACACTTTTGTCAGCAGGAGGTTGCAGCACCTTAGGTAAAATTCATGTAAAAATTACATCTTTGAAGTTTGGATAGTGAAGAACTGTTGCTATCAGGTACAGGAAAGCATTTGATTTCTTTAGTCTGATACTATCATCAGGACCATGTTTGGAAACACCGCAAGCTTTACGTTTTTCTGCTTTGAGTATCAAATCTCCTGCTGAATTTTATTGCAACAAAGACATCAATGTGATTTGGTCAGCATTTTCCACCAAGTTGTCCATTGTTTATAGCAAACATGTAGTCACTGTTTCTCTTCGTGTCACTGCACTGTGTCATGGTGTAAGCATTCAGACTGAGTGCACATGCTTGATGAACAACCAAAATAGGAGGTTCTGGAGTGGAAGTATCATCACCTTTCCATGCCTGGTTGTGGTGGGATGTGAGGCTGCAGCTGGACAGGCTGCTGAAAGCTGGGCTCCATCCCAGTCCCTTGTCAGAGCACATTACTAAATAATACTAAATGAAGCAATACATAAGGCGTTAGGTGTTCTGTCCTGTTCCATGTTCTGGTGCTTGTCCAAAAGATGACAAAATAAATTGGAGGCAGTTGAACTCTCTGGCTGTGAAAAACGGTTTGTAGTGCTGTCTCACTTGGTAGGCAAGTGATTTAGGCAAGTAAATGCAACACAGTAAGAAAGCAGGCAAATCAAGGTTGGAAAGATTGAATTCCAGACTCTCAGCACAAAATCACCTCTTTTTTTCAAAATAAAATACATACTTTGAAGCTAAGTCATTAACTGAAATTGTACGTTATGGATGTGAAGGATAAAACAGACATTCAGTTCATTGTGTCAGAAAGCCAAATCTGAACAGATTGGATAGGCTGATTACCTCAGTAAGAGCTACTCTGCATCTGCGAATCAAAGGTGAAAGGCACCTTAGCTTTCTAGTCTCAAGTATTCTGTTTTTTTAAAAAAAATTATCTGCTAGCAACTTTCTATCTATAAATCCCATCCGGTGGTTTGAGAAGGAATCCAGAAATGATGCTTTATTCTGAAACATCTTGAAATTCAACAATCTTTCTCAGCCACCCTACAGAGTTAAAACTAAAAACAAATACTTACCCATTCCTTGACTTTCTTCCTGGGCAAATGAACTTCTGTCAGATGCAGAGACAAATTCATCCTGACTGGAGAAACTGAGTCAGAGATTCAGAGGAGGGTTATGGCCAGTTAGTGCATTACGTATTGCTGTTCTACATTCTGCTTTGTTTGCTGAACCTAATTCTGTCTTTGTGTACATCCAGTCCATTTTCCTCACTACAGACTGGAAGAGTAAGGGCTGGTTTTACCAACAAGCAAGATGTTATTATGTGGTTGATTTTTTGTGTGTGCATGTTTCCACTCTTATACCATTCAAAATATAAACGTCTCTCATTATATCAGATAATAAATAGTGAGATCCTCTAGTCTTCTCCAGAGTTCTGTAAGATCTGAAGCTTGTATATTATTTTCTGAAAGTAGTAGTTCTCAAGTATTCAAAAATACGCAAAATGACAATAATTTACCACTTTTTGTTATATTTTGTGTTACCCTTACTTCCTGAAAGAAATTAAAGAATATTGACTTGATCTTGTTGCAATCAAAAGGTGGTAAAATATTTTTTAAGCTATTAACGTTATAAAAACAATTTAAAAGACGTTTCTTGCCCCATCGGATGAACTAAGATTTCTCCTTTTGCAGTTTTTTTCTCCTGGATCTTCCTGCAAGCTCTCCAATCAGCACATCGTTTGAGATCACATGGCTGCTTACTACAAGAAACTGATGTCTGCCAAAGGTATGTTCACTCTTCAGTGATGATGCTATCCACGTCACTGAAAGATGAAATCACATTCCAGGGTATGTTGATTGTCTGATAGACTTTTGACTGGCTGATGAATCTCTTCCTCCTTCTTTGCTCACTCCCACCTTCATTAACTCAAGAGACGTAGCAGAATTTAAAGCTGAGACACAACACAGCATGCTGTAAAAGAGGAGATATGTAGACCTCTTGATTGGAACTGCTTTAGGAGAAGCAAATCCCTGCTGCTGAGAGGTGTGAAGTATACATAGTCAAATCATTCTACAAAATGACAATTTAATTTCAGCAAGAGAAAAATTATTTAATTCTCTGCATGTATATTAATAGTGGTTTCTCTTTAGATGTATATGTCAGTTGAAATAAAAGGAAAGGTAAAATGAGAGCTAGGGCAGGTAGTTATTTAATTGAGATAGCCCCCAGAAGAATAACAGAGAGGTTACAGCTTTAGAGGCTTAGAAAATTAAAGCATCAGTCCTGAGAACCTAGAAGGAAGTTCCTGTAGTTTACATTTGTAATTGAGATAGCTTTTCAGACACCCTCTCTTCTGCAAATAGCTTCAAGCTTTAAGGAGAACTTGGAATTTAAAAAATGTCCTCTCCCTGTTGCCTGGAACTGTGTAAAGTTCCTGGTGTTTGAAGTGCAGATGAAAACAAGTGAAGTGAATGGTTGTATCTGTAGTTAGGTTATTGCAAGACTTCCAGTCTTTAGACTCCCAGCCATTTTAACCAAACAATTCACTTAAAAACACACAGTGAACTTTGCAGAAACATATAGCTGTGGAACACTAGATCAGACTGCTGCTGCTATTTCTGCCAAGAGACTGGTCATTTTCAGCAATCTTAGGCTAACTAACACAAATCCAGTGAACTATTTTATCACTGTATCAGAATCATCATTTTGAAGTTGCAGTACATTCACCTTGGTCCTGTTCATCGCCTTACCACTCATATCATGGTTTGGAGGCTGGACTGCTGCTGCGTACTCTTGTTCTTAAGTGACTTTTACTCTTGTTTTGCTAACATCACAGAAATAGCAAACTCTAAGGAATGCAGAACTCAAATCGCAGTGCATTTCTCATAAACATAAAGTATTAGGAACAAAAAAATTAAGTAAAGCAAAGATTGTCGTGTATAATCGAAATTTTCATCATTTTCAACTGATGAATCCTAAAACAAGAGTGAAGATTGAAAAATAAAAGAAAACAACTCAAAGATGCTTCTTCAGTTGTTTATTACATTCTTAAAGCTCAAAAGAAAATACACAGAAGATATTCTTGGCATAAAAGAAGCCAAGTGCTTTGTTCCAAAACAGATTTCAGTTGGGTTTGTTTTTTAGTTTTTTTTTTTGTTTGTTTTGTTTTGTTTTGTTTTTTTCGCAGGTCAGTCTTGCATGTCTCTAGCACAGTTCAGTTAAGCTGGAAAGGCCTTCTCAGCATAGATGCCAGTCAAAATTTCCAGTGGCTAAAATTTCTATTTCTTATGTTTTACCATCTGAAATTATAGTTTCAAAAGTTAGCTTTAGAGCACACGAGAGCAGGAACCTCTAATATTAAAAAAAAAACTTTTTCCTTATTATAATGCTTCATCGTTCCAGTCAGGTTCTCTTTGCAGAGTTGAACTTTCATAGATACTAAGAACTGTAATTCTGCAAGGAGATCAAGGTCTGCACGTACCTTGTGCTGAAGTGCTGAGTTGTCACTTGCTCCATATCCTTGCAGATACGTAGCAGATGATAGGGCTTCATGCCTCCGCAAAATCTGATCAGGGTTGCTTAGAGGCTTTCTCCAGTGCCCTTATAAATATTCACTTTTTTTTTTTTTTAAAGTAGAGCAGCTTTTTGAATACAGTCTATTTGGCCTCACTCCAATCAGTAGCTAGTCCTGCATGTCTGAAACACTGTTTGGAGCACTTGTACAAGCTCTGATTTGCTGTGACATGTAGCAGTAATCACTAAAGCGTTTTGGATGAAAATGGAGTCAGTGTCCTTCAAATGCAACTGGAGTACTGTGCTTCTGACTGATTACTTCTTCCTTCACAGTCAAAAATAGTTTTTGTCCATATATTGTAGTTATCTCTAGGTATAGCACATGAGACATACACTTCCATCAGTATTCATACCATCTCCCATACAGACACGTGACTTACTGAAGAGTATGCAGCAGTACAGTGACATGGCTTTGTTCCTGGAAACTCACTTGATTTCACTATTTGCATAGAAAAATCAAATGACCTAATAACAGAAAACATAGTGTACAAAAATGCCTATGTAATCATGTAATCAAATAACTTCTACCGATAGACAGATGATCAAGAACTGATACCCTTCAGTCTAGGAATAACCTGAATCTCGTTACACCATCACTTGGAGGCTCTGACTGATAGCAGCCATGCTAGTCATTCCTGAAGTATTTTCTGACTAACAACTGATGTTGAAATAAGATGTACACAGCTTTTTTTGACTTATAAACTAAAAAGAATGTTAATAACATTAACTGCACTAATTCTTATTTCTATACCAAAGTAAACAAGGCCTACAACCACAAAATTCAGACCCAGGTTTAATTCTGAATCAACAATAGCACTTCTGAGGCACTTTCACTCAGATGAGGACAAGGAGTCAAACCCTCAGTTAGTTTAATATAGTGTAACTCAACTGATTTGATTATATTTCATTTACTCTAGGTTTTGAAAGCTCACTGTTGGGTAAGAAACAGGAAACAGACAGAAAACAGTATAAATGACTAGGGGAAAAAAGAAAAAAAAGGATGTGATGGCTTGCAGACCTGCTAACATTATGCATACCAGTACCGTATTTCTATGAGGAATTCAACACCTTGATATCACCAGTTTCATCTATAACCCCTTTTTTTGTAAGATTATTTGGAATAGAAGCGTTTCAATGGACTGAACCTTCATTTGTTAATACAGCTGCTGTTGACTCATCTGCATCAAAGAGTTTGCATTCCAGTGTTAAATGTGAGTATAGTTTTGTTTTCAAATTAGGTCTGGCTTCATTTGTTTGGTTTGTAAATACTTGTCTTTTTTATGATGAGGAGGCATGCCTAAAAAAATTCATCATTCCAAGTACGGTTAAGACAATAATATAAGAATCATAGGATGGCTTGGGTTGGAAGGAACCTTAAAGATCATCTAGTCCTAATCCCTCAAGCGTCTAAGTATCTTACCTAACATCTAAAATAGTAGCTGTATCCAGCTGCTGGTTCACATTTGCACAGCTGCATTCTAATTTACAAAGTGTAAGAATCTTTGGTATACATTACAAGTGATTACTTAAGGCATAAGTTACTCTAGTTTTTCAGTCCCAACTCAGACCAATTGAATTCCTGTCGAATTCCTTTGCTCACCTACAGTGTATTTTCTGTTTCCTTAACTGGTTTGTGTACCTCTAAGCATCAGGCATACTACTGTTAAAACAGGTAATATTTTATTGCTAAGACAACATTGCATTGCATCTTAACGCCACCTCTTGGCTGAAGCCTGCAGTACCCAACATTTAAGCAGAGTCTCTGATACCCTTTGTTTTTTGAAAGGAAGCAGAGATGGTTGAACAGCGATACATTCGTCCCTTTCCTTGAAAGCACTGTGGAATGTGTTCAGATTTCTTCATTCAGCTGGTTTTAAGGCATATCCTGATTCTCTGTTGGAAAATTTATAGATATGGGACTATTCACCATTTCTGCACAGAAAACCCACAATTTAAAATCAAATTTTTGAAGCAAGAAAACTGAAAGTTGCTGCTTTTTAAGAATGCGTGCAGAAAGGATATCAGTTATCAGAGATCTGCAGTAGGTTGTCACTGTTACTGCAGTATAATACATATAATGCAGTTGAAAACAAAGATAGCTCAAAGAAGACACTAAGATGCAATTGTTTAAGGAAGATACATACCATCCAAGAAGGAAAAGATAACTCTTTCCTTTACAGATTAAGAAAATTGGATCACAGAAGATCTACAGAGAAGCAAGAGAATAAGTCCAGAACCACATCACATAATAAGAATTTTGCTTGTTTTCTAAAACTTCATGCTCCGTATCACATTAGCCTTTCCTCAATGCTGGCTTTCACATAAGCATTTTAAACTTAGTATTGTTGATTGATTTTAATATTTTAAAAGAAAGTGATCTTCCCACAGAAGTACACAAGGCACAGAAACTCATTTGTTGGAGAAGATCAAGAGGACATTATCTATGTTCTTTATAATAGTTGCTTATCATTTCTCTTGTACAGCTCATCAGGAATGTATTGTTGTGTGTGGTTTCTGTTAATTTAAAAGCCCACATGAATACAAGGCTCCTGCACATAGAAGCCATAACGTGAGGAAGTGAGGATTCAGCATCATTTGTATCTTTTATATACCAGTATTCTGCTAAGGAAAGACAACTCACTTTTGTCATTTAACGTTTATCTCCACAAAAGGATAGGTTAGCTCCAGAAATGTCTGTCTTGACAAAAGAAATTTTGTCCCTGAAAAACTCAAAATTTAGAAGTCACAGTGGATAGATAAGAATTTATGTCTTCTGAAGTGTTGAACAGAACAATAGTGGATGTACAGTCACTGCTAATGGGGTTAATGTGCAATCATTTGTGCAGTATAAAATGATTTTATGCCCACAAATATAGGCTTCTGTTTATCATTTGCATATTAAAAGACAAAATGAATGAAGGCTGTTTTGCCACTCTGCTAGAATAACATGAGGACAAAACTAATTTTCTGCTCAGTTGAAGATTGCACTTTTTTTTTCTTTTCATGTAGAATTCCCTCCCTCCCACAACCATTTCTACTTTTGTTGCTGTTTACAGTGTGCTTTTAAAACCTTGAAATTTATCAGCATGCACAGTAGTTTGGACAGCCACACATTCAGATGAGATATCTTACCTGTTCTCAATCCATACAGTCATGTAGATATGGACTTGTTTTCCAAATATGCAATCTGTGTTACACAGCAAGCACTTAGTTCTCCAGTCAGCTGCAAGAAGAAAACCCAGGTCACATGGTGCAGATGTACACAAACCTGTTAAAATAAAGACAAAGCCTCAAACACCTGCAGAGATTAATCCTGAAAAGGCAGAACAAAATACCATGCATAGTGCTTTGTTTCATTTTAGAAATAAATACATTGCAGATAAAACACGCTGAATAAAATGTAAAAATGTAATTTTAATTAAAACACTTTTTTGACAGTATTAAAATTTTTCATTTTTCAAGCTGTCTGTGCTGTTGTTCTTTAGTTTAAAAACTGCATAAGTGAAACATTAACACTAAGGAAACATGCAAAGTGTAGGGCTTCCTCTTGAATGCCTTCACGTGTTATTTAGATTTTCAATTCTAGGGTTTAAAAGAGTCAGAGTTTAAATTTAGTGGTTCACTGAACGTTTTGCTGCTTTGAATCTCATGAAGTTCCTAATGTCACAGTTGGGAAGAGCATCCTTGATTAACTTCACATGAGAAGCTCTTCTCATGACTTTTACATATGGTATATAAAGCATTGGAAATGCTACCTTCCTTACATTTGTGACAGCAGCATGACGTATGAAACTACTGTGAAAGCAGTAATTCCATGACCACCCCAACACTGAATATGTCTGACTAGGAGAATGCTCACATTTCTTGTTCTCGGTAGAAGCCATGTTTACTAGAAAGAGCATCTAACGAGTACGGAAAAAGCTCAAGTTATGCTGCAGAATCCACCAGAGGCCAGGTTTCAAGAAGTGTCTTCGTAATAAAAAAGAAAAATTTCTACTCCAAAGGAAATGTGAAAATTCTGGAAAAAAATAAATAAATCCATTATAATCCATTTTTATGCCAATGAACAAAAAAAGAAGAAAAAAACAAACTTATTTATACATTGAGTTTGAGAGTCAAACTTATCTGTTGAATCTAGAAAGTCCTCCAAATTCTTCAGTTATGAGGGATTAAGAGCTACAGCTGAATTAGATTTTTTGGAAGCCTGGAAGCATGAGACAGTGTTTCCATAGCCTGTAAGTTCCAGAATTCTCTCCCAAACAATATTTCTATGATATTGTGATGTTTGAGTCAGATCTCCTGTGGCTGATCAGCTCAGTAGAGAAGCAGAAACCTTGGCTGATATGCACATGAAACTGTCCCAAATGAACTGGTAGGAAACTGGGAAAAACTTAACACTTGTGAAAGATTGATCAAAACCAGCCCTAACTGAGGGAACCCAGAAATGTAACCCACACTTTATGCAAGAAAATGAGCCACCCAAATCATTAGTTGGCAAGTTCTGCAATTCTGAAAAACCCTAACTGAAGCTCATCTCTATGGCTCCATCACAGCCTCAGTCCACCATTCCAGGGAAGCACACTGGACCAGCCCATCCAGTTCTAAATCTCTTCCTGTCTCCCATTTCAACTGAGGAATCCAGAACTGGACACAGAATTCCAGATGTAGCTTCACCGGGTCAGAGTAGAGGGGGAGGATCACCTCCCTAAACCTGCTAACCACACTCTTTTTAATCTACCCCTTCTTAGTCACAATGGCACACTATTGCCTCATGGCCTATCTGCTGTCTACCAGGGCACCTAGGCCTTCTTTCTAGCAGGTCAGCCCCTAACCTGTACTAATGCACACAAGCATCCAACCTGCCCAGGTCTCACTGAGTAGTAACACAACCGTGCTTCAGCCACTCCTCCCACCTTTGCATCATCAGCAAACTTACTGAGAGTGTACTCCATCCCTTCTCATGAAAATGTTGAACCAGACTGATTCCAGTACCTCCTTTACTCATAAAGAAAAGGTCCAGCAGCAAATCTCTTCTCATAGTCTCTACCACCACCTGTATCAGAAAGTTATCTTTCACATACTACAGGAACTTCATGGACTGTGTATGCCTACTAGCATTGGTTTCTCAGCAAATAGCAGGGTTAGTTGAAGTTCTCTCCCTCCATGAGAACCAATATTCACTAAACTACTTTCAGCTGTCTGTGGAAGGTCTTATCAACTTCTTCCTCTTGATCACAGGCACCTATGGGTGCCTGTAGTAAACACCCACAATGGTGTCACCCATTTTAGTCTGCCCCTTCATTCTCACCCATTAGCTCTCCTTTCATTGATCATTTCCCCCTAGGCAGAGATTAATACATTCCAGTTGTTCTCTCAAATAAAGAGCAACTCCACTATCTCACCTCGATGCTCTGTCTTTCCTAAAAAGAGTACAGCCATCCATGTCAGTCATGTAAGCTGTCCCATGTCTCCACGATCACAATGAGATCATGGCTCTGTGACCACACATATATCTCTTACTCTTCTTGTTTATTTCCCATGCTGCATCCTTTGGTATACAGGCACATCAGAGAAGAAAAGGGAGCAGGGGATGTTGGCTTCTCTTGAGGGATGCAAGAAGTTCCCGATAGCTGTACGCATAATTGTGGAGGTTGAACTTCTGACTTATCTCATGGGAGGCAGCTAAGGAACATCTGTCACTGTTGTGGTTGGCCTGGCATATTCCCCAGTTGGTTGCAATAGCACAAGCATTGCCAGTTTGGAAGCCACCCCAAAGTCATTTAGTTTAAAGTCTGCCTCGTGAGGTTGGCCAGCCTGCTGCCGAAAATTGCCTTACCTGTGCTGGACAGGTGGACCCCTTCCATTTCTAACAGGTTATAAACTTCACAGAAAGTCCCATTATCATAAAAACTGGAACCCTCATGCCAGCACCAGCCACGTAGCCAGGAGCTGATTTGCATCGTGTCTATTTCTGTATTCCCTCTTTAATCCAAGACTGAGAGAAGATAGCTTAGGCACTAGAGTTCCCAGAGCCTTATAGCCTTCTTTGATTCTGCCTGTGTTCCAGCTTCCAGTGTTTTTCCTGCCTACATGAAAGAGCAATAATGGAGAGCAATCCATGCTCATGACAAATTGTGGCACTCTGGCAATGTCCCACATTTTGGCTCCTGGAAGGCAGCAAACTTCTCAGAATTCCCCGTCACGCAGGCAGAAAGAAGCCTCAGTGCCTTTTAACAGGGAGTCACATGTTTTAGGAAAAAGGAATGGTATCTTTCTTTAAAAAAACAAATAAAAAAAAAAACAACCCAAACCTCTATCTGTCAACAGAGTACTTAAGTGCTTTATGGTACACAGTGGTCTTTTTATAACTTGTGTTCTTCTTCATGTAATTTTCTGCATGAGACAGATATTAGTCAAAATAGTAATTTCTGTTTGGGTTTTTAGCCAGTTTAGAATGAAATTTCTTTGTGACTTTCAGGAACACAACATCTGAGAATAAGAACAAGTTGTTTCTCCAAACAGCTCAACGGCGTAAAAAATTGCAGCATTTTATCTCAGGATGATTGGAGTTTGTGTGAATAATCTATACAGTCAATTATATAAATACATAATTTCATCCTCACAGATGTAGAAATGCCAGTTGTTGCTAATCTTGGGCAATTGAATGGATCATTTAGCAATCAGTGAAAATTAATGTGTTTATATATGCAAACATCAACTTTCTATCATTGCGAGTTTATGGAGTGCTAGAGAGATGGTTTTAATAATACATTTTTCAGTCTGTAGAAAAGAAACATGCATATCAGCATTCCAGGGGAGCCACAATGAAGGAAATATCAAATGTATGACTACAGCTTTCAGTGATTTACTGGGCAGCGTGGTTCACAAATTTTTCTTCTCCCTGTTTCCAATCCTGTGCAGCTGGCAGCTCTGTCTGGGATCTGAGTTCCTTTGTGGCAGACACCGTATGGCCCAAAGATCATCTTCCAGGGTTTTCTGCCCAAAAAGATGCACCAGCTAGAACAGAGTAAATATGCTATCACCTCTTCTACAGTGAGGAAATTAAGACACCAGAAATTAATTATCATACCTGGGGTCACATGGAGCCTGTTTCAGAGCTAGGAATTAAGGAATAGTTTTCTAAGTTCTACTGCAGTCACTTCATCACAAAAGCATCCTTCCCAATGATTTCAGAATCAATGCTGTTGAAAGCAGCATTTGTAAAAGGGGAGGACAGAACTAGTGGGAACTACTGGAGGATGCAGGGAGCAGGAGTTTGTCATAACCATTGTGCACTGACTCTATTTTAACTTTGCATTCCTATTCCACTGCCAAAGGGGAAAGCATTCTGCTTCAGCAAGCAATGCTTAAACAGGGATAAAGCATCTTGTTTCTCTTTTACTCCAGCTTCCCTTCCTCCCTAAATACTGTTGTACAACATCAATGTTAAAAAAAACCCTGCCCATACCTCTCCAGAGGTTCATATAATCCCTGTCAGTGATTTGCAAATAGCTGTGAGTCTTCTGCTTCTGTTTTTCCAGCTTACCAACAATGTCTTTCAATCGCAAAATATGGAGTCACTTGCATTAATGTAAGCACTATGAAATTTTGTTTGCCAAAGTAAGTTCTTGATCACTTCACAGCATCAAGCAGAATTAGCAATTCAGCATCCCTTCACTTGCTGCCTTTTGGTTTCAGGTAAGAGACAAAAGTCTGTCCTGGCTAAAGAGGCTTTAGTAACTTAGAACCTTAAAAAATCAAGAGAAATGCTGCTAGATTTATCCTTTTGTTGGGCCATGTTTTCACAGGTGTAAATTACCATTGTCAGTTTTTACTGACTCACGAGGGAGGGAGGGAGTTCTGGCCTTTTGTAACGGAAATGTGCTTAGATGAGAAACGGGCTGAGATGCTCCAAGTGTAGGAGTTGGATCTCCTTTCCTTATGAAGGAAATGGTGAATAGTTAGTGGTTAAGAACAGGTTGTACTTACAGAGCTGGGAATTTCACTTGTTGATTATGTCTTATTTATACTGCCTAAAAGATAAAGAAAGAAACGGATTATTTTCCCATTACAAATAAAATAAATGCCAAATCTTGTCATTGTTTCCTCACACAAGAGAAAAGAGGAAGTTCTTTCTTTATTTTGATGCAGTCTACAAATTAATGGTGTCAAACGCTGTCAGCTCCACTAATGTCCATGAATTTGCTCATAAAGCAGAACCAGTCACACACAGCAGATGTGGGTTACAGCCAAAAGTTCCAAGTGTGCTAATACTCAGATTGGATGGTATCTACAGAGAGATGATCCCTTCTTGCCTTCCTCATGGAGAAATTTCTGCTAATGTTAGTGTGAGCACTTATTTTAGCAAAATGAGCAGAATTTGGCATGGGTTGAAAATGACACGGCAAACAGCAAGGGGCAGTGTCAGCAGAGTTTTGTGAGTTTATCTGGCATTTTAGAGGCTTTTCTTCCTCTAGAAGACAATTTTTTATTCTCTCAGTTGATACTATTACAGAGTTTAACTATTGGTGAAAACAAATAATGCTGAACTAGAGCTTGGGGCTTAAAAACCACCCACACACTGTAGATTAATGTGCCAACATAGGCGTTTCACAATGATAGCTAGTAAGGCAAAGAGCATCTGAAATCAAATCTAAGCATTGGAGCCTTCTCTGTCGCTGCTTTCTGTTGAAGGAATGGTATCGTTTGCTCTAACTGCCAAAATAAGCAATCCCCACACCAGACTAAGTGTTATTAGTGCAGTCTGCAGCATTTGGCCCATGGATCTGAGTATTGTAACTGTTCTTGTGTCTCTTTGTATCACACTGCTCTAAAATCAGAGATTACATAAATTAAAATGGCAGCCAAAACTGAGAAAAATAAAAGAAAATTTCAAATAAAAGTGATCCATGGTGGATAAAGAATAAACTGTTGTAGTTATCCAGTCTGATTTTTTCCCTAGGACTTCCTTCATCACATTGCTGTCTGCAGAGTTAGTGGGGAAGAAGAGCTAGAAATATGTCCAACCTCATTTATTTACATGCCACCTTTCATTAAACAGTTACAAAGAATAATTTACCTCACTAGGAAGGACATACACCTTTCTTTCAGGATGAATTTGTCCAACCTTGATAATCATATGTGCTGTTTAAGTCATAAAGTTTTGGAGCAGGATTCGTAACTTCAGCAGCAGTCATTTGTCCATCCAAAGAGACTGTACTTATGCTCCAGATTCCCACTCCTTATAGACAGTGATATTACACTAGTTTTGGCTACTGTCACCATGAAAAAACACAGGAATCTGTTTATCTAGCAAAAGATAGGAGTGCTTTTCAGCAACACTGATTTCCTGGTTAGACTTTATGTAAAAGCCTGCATTTTTTGGATTGAGATGTTTAGTTATCATGCTGAAAAGCATACTGCTTGCCTACATATACTTCATTGAATGCTGCAGATCACTTTTTTACAGTAAATGACTCCTGTTCTCTTTGTCCTTGAATAACTTCCTTTCCCAGGGAACTCACAAGTTCACCAGCTGTAACTGTTCAACCTTCATGAGGAAAGAGTTTATGTTTTTACAGATAAATGAAAGAAATAATCTAATAACACATCAAAAGTGATCCTTGTGTTATAAATACCTGGCTTGGAAGGAGCCCTTGCTTCTAATGGCATTTTCAGATCTGCCAGTTAGCCATTTTGTAAACACTTGTAGTTTTGCTGTCTTGTAATTCTTCATCCAAATATCTTGCAGAACAAAGCCAAGGAGCTAATAGGAGTCTTTTAAACAAACATATTTTTATCACTCAACCATAATTAAAATCACTTGTCAAGCTGGTATGATGATCTTTGGGTGATCATTTTTGACTCCAACTGAGCGTTGTAATAGCTGTTTCAGTTGTTATGCTTGGGACTGTTGTCAGTCTGACAGTCCTGGCGTTCACTTACCACTTTTTCTGTTCTTTTTCCCCATAGTCCTTTGAAACTTACTTGTTGTTTCAAAACTCATCAGAGGTTAAACATCAGCCAATTTTTTTAAAAACACTTGGTAGGAAGTAAACCAGAACTCCCACTGAGAGTCAAAAATGAAGGCATGAGCCAAGGTGTTGATTCTGTTTCTAACTATAATCACTGAGTTTTGTAACATCTGGTAAACAATTTAGTGGAAGACTGTTCTGGCTATGTATCCCATCCTCATACTTGGATCACCGTGTTCTATTTCAGACCTGAAAATAACCTGCTCTTTAATAAAGTAGCTGTGGAATCAGTCTAAGGTGTTAGCTGCCTTGTCATAGTATTTAGGGCAAATATAAGTGGAACTAAAACACACGAGGTTTTTCTTTAAAACAAAAAAAAAAATTTTGATTTGTTGTGTTCTGATTGACCAGTTACAGCATTTCAACTGAGTAAATTTGTGCCTGCTCAGTACAAATGTGGGCCGTTTACGCAACAGCAAAAGAGAGACGAGATCTTTTATTAGCTGGAAAAAAGCAAGGAATACCAGGAAAACAGTGTGGGGGCTATATTTTTAAAGCCCAGCTTTAAAATATTTTTAAAGCCCAGCTTTCAACCAAATCCCTTTTATTTATCATACTTTCTTTGCATTGACCAGTACGAGGTACCAGTAAAAGCACCAATAAAACTGCACAATAGCATTGACAAATAACATTTGCCACAGTAGGAAGCATGATAAATTAGCAAATAAATGAGCTTAACAGAAAGGTTGGTGAATACATTTGCCTAAATAACTGCTGCACTGGCCATGCCATGTGATCACATTGCCTGGGAAGCAGCAAATAGGTAGCCTAAAAAAAACCAGTTGTATCCTGTAATCAGATTCAGGAAAAACACTGAATCACAACATACTTTGAGAACTGAAACCCTCCCGCAACATCTCCAGTTAATGTGTCCAATTCTGGTTTCATCTATAAAATACAGCCAATTCTGAAACAGGTCAGCAAGGATACAGAAGGCATGGGATGCCTAATTTTTGTTCTTACAAAAAGAAAAAAAATACGCTTATCATTTGGGATAGAAACAACAGTGTTACCTGAAAAACTGAGAATATCTTCCACTCCTAGTCCTTTTGTTCATGTGTCTGGAGAACATGCCTGGTTAGCATAGAGCAAGGTCATTTTAGGAAGACACATGCAGGAGAGGAGAGGCTTGAAAAGGAAGCATAGCTGGTGTTGGAAGTGGTCATGATGCGGAAGCCCTGCAAACCCAAGAAGGGGCACAGGCAAAACATGAACAGGAAAAACCAATAATGAGGAAAGAGAAACTGGAGAGAGTGGAGCTAGAAGGGGAGAAGGCACATAATTCCTTTAGCAGACAAGTTTCTGAATAAACTAGGCTGTAGTGTAGGACCCCTCAGTCTGACTCACGTGGGTGAGGCTCGTACAAATCATGACTGTCTGGGGGGAAATGAAACCTGGTGTCTCTTAGGGAGAGGAAGGGAAAGTTGCTGCATGACATTCTGGCCAAGGAGTTTTTGCTGACTACTCCAAACATATAACTATAATGCAGTGGAATGGGACTTGTTTAAATAGGCTTAATGCCATGTGGCATATTTATAACCCATATTTGTAGTATAAATATCAGTGAAATACTAGACGATGTCTGTTTAAAACCCGTGGTTCTCCGACCTGGAACATTTTATTTTCTTGCCCTTGGCATGGCTTGGTGAAGGCTCAGCCTTGCCTGGCTGTTGTTTTGCCTCACCTGCAGGCAAGCAGACAGCACATGCAGAGGAGCAGGGAGGCACCAATACAATTTTTCCCAAGTCCTCACAACAATTTGTTGACAGCATTACAAAAAAAGCCAGGTATCCTGGCAGTACCACTGTGTAGACGCTACATCAAGCTCCTTGTCTGTTATTTTTAACAGGACTGCACAATGCAAAGTCTTTAATCAAAATTTGGGAGGGGGGAGGGAGAAGTTTGGTTGGGCCCTGAACAAACCTAGATAAAGAGGAAAGGTACTAATCACTCCACGAATGTGATTGAGCAAGTACATTCTGTTCTTTGTTCCAGTGAGTAGTATAATCCTGCTTCTCAGTCATCCAAATAGGATTTTGCATTGTCAACATGCTTTTTCTTAATAGGATGATGATATGAATTCATGTCCATGCAAGAGTGGAAAGCCAGATGATATGCCTCAGAAGATTATATATTTCATTTTAGCTATTCATGAAATATATGTTTTTTTTTTCAATTTTACAAGGTGTTGTGCCACATACAAGAGCTGTCACAAACTTCTGAGGAGCCAACAATTTAGAGCAACATCTAATTGCTTTTAAAAAAAGACTCAATTATTCATTCTCTGAATGAAATATTACTTCAATTAAGACTTACTAAAACCCTGTAACTCTTCTGCTAATTCAGAAATGTGCAATGCTAAATTCCTGGCAATACATCTCCCCCTCTAAAGAAAACCTGCAATCATATACTGCTTTGCTGGGTTACAAGGATTATTCTGTCTCAGTACTAGTGAGATGGAGGAGCTGCTTACTCACACACACACAGAAATACTGCTTACAATAAGCCTAACACCATTTACACTGAGACAGGTTTCGTCCCAGGGTACTAAAAGAACTACCTCAAGAGGGGAATGGAGATGCAGGTGCTGAGCTCTGTTCCCTGGTAACAGCACGAGACCCAAGGGAATGGCAAGGGGGTTAGGGAAAGGTTCTGCACAAGAGGGCAGTGGGCACGGCCCAGAGCTGCCAGAGTTCAGGTGGTGCTTAGACAACGCTCTCAGACACACGGTTGGAGTGTTGTGTGCTGCTGTGTGGAGCTGGGAGTTGGACTCCATTCCATGATCCTTTCCTCTTCCAACTTGGAATGTTCTGTGATTCTATGACTCTATAGTAATGTTTATTCTAAGTGTTCTTGCAAGAATTCTTGCAATAATCAAAGATCCAAAGGTCTGGGTCTGTTCCGAACTTTTTTTGTTTGACTAACGCAGAAATCACACTATCTTAATAGTACAGTCTGCACAGACCGCAGTGGCAGCCTTTGGCCAGTCAGCCTTGAATCTCAGAGACTTAATTATATCATCTTTTCTTCTACTTTGACTTGTACCAGCTCTTCTCTAGGACAGGGGAAAAAAGAGTGGGCAGGAGATTGGAACAAAATATCGTGCTCTGTTATGCCTCCACAATTTGTTACTTACCATGTGGGTGACAAAATGAAGCCCTGGGTTGCATTTATTTCAAATACGGATGTGTGCTTCTGAAGCATCAAGAACCAACCATAAAGAGGAGTTGTTGTCTGCTTTGTATACTACTTGGCATCAAGAGGAGGAGAGGGAACAGTCTTTAGTGGGAAAAAGAAGAGCAAAGAGTAATAATATGTGACTTGAACATTGATTTAACTTGAAAGAGTTGTGTTTACATTTGTATTTGTACAGACAGTGATCAGCAGAAAAGAGACAAACCGATGCAAGCCTTTGAGAAATACAAGAAAGATTTCATTCATGGTCTTCATGCCACATCAGTCAACTTCAGAAATGTTTCTCTAGGCCAGCAGAAGGTATGTGATATTCTGACAGCGTGTGATTACTTGTCACACAGGTAACATCAAGTCACCTGACAGAGAGCAACTTCTTCATAGTCAGCTGCAGTCCGTAGTGCTGGGAAGTGCCTGTAACACCGCAGGCTTGTGCAATGTGACTTTTTATAGTCTGGTCAAGCAGAAATAATAATTGATTCTCAGTTTTGCCTGGGAAGATACCAAAAAACATATAGTTTCACTGTTTTAAAACTAATGAATGTATGTGCCTTTATGATCCACTGAGTTTTCACCTAAGCTGCAATGACTTAAACATGTTTTTTGCTAGACTCAGAAGCTATATTCTCATCTGTTCTTACGCATACTTGGTCTACACTATAGATCTACAATGACATGTGTGTATGTCATGTACAAGAATGTACACACAACATTCAAAAACCCACAAGTCACCTTTGTTCCTTTAACAAATAAGATTCAATTTCATCTTTAAGCAGAATTTTTAATGAAGTATTACATGGGCGTCTGGAAAACTGAAATTGAGTGAATTTACTGAAATAATTTGATGGCATATATGACAACATTCTTGTTAGGAAAATTGCTGTACACAATATTAAATAAATAAGTAAATCCCTATGATTTTTACCAAATTCCCTCTGAACAAAATGCAATAACATCATATTGTTTGACTGTGTCCTCTGAATTTTAGAATGGTATTCATTGGTAAAAGCAAGATACTGAAGTAATCAATCCTAATTCTCCATATTCTGGCAGGTATCAGAGACTGTACAACCTTGTGGTAGCGTGTGTAGACCACTTCTTTACCAAATTCTACCTATGGATCTCAGTGCAGTAGTCAAAGTTATCCAAAACACTTTGTTCTGCCATAGTACTGAGTCTCTCTGGGGGCGAGAGTCCCTCAGGAGACTATATTTAGATCGTAAAACTTTCTATTTGTTGAGAATTATGGTGTGTTTACCACTAGATTACCAGTGACGCTGTTTATAAAGTAGGTCATCCAAATTCAAACTGTATTATTTTTATTTGTAAAACCTTGGTTCCACTGAGATAAATAAGAAAATGGTGGACCATAATTTCACTGATGGCATTTATGAGGATAACAGTGGTTCTGCTGGAATTCAGACTCTCAAGATGGAGCTCATACCTGAACAGTCCTTCAAGGAGAGTGAGTAGAAGGTGCCATCCCACTGCTCCTAAAGAGGATTGCCATGAGAATGATAATGTCCAAGGAAGGAAAGATCACTTCTCTCTCTGTGAGGCCTGGCAAGGAAAGAGGTATTTGTGTAATTTCCTAAGATTACTTGTCACGAGAAACCTCAACTTAGCACAGAGAAGGAAGGAGAAGGAAACTCGAAAAGGAGCGTGTTAGTAAGTAGCTGTAATGCAGTGACAGTGTTGCTTTACTTCTAACTGCACCTCAGTTAGACCACTTCAAGCAGTTGGAAGACTGGTTCTTGAACTTCCTTCTTAGTGAATCTGTTTGTAGGAGGCACTGACATCACCAGATTGCTTTTGTGATTTTCTGGGGGGCATTTTGTTCTTTAACTTGCAGGTGAGGTGTTTGCTGTAGGAAAATGGTCACCTACATTTGACATCTGCTTAGAACAGCTATTCCAGGACAGAAAGAGAGCAGCCTCCCTTTGTATGTTTTCAGAGGCTCAGTTCGAGAACTCAGTTGCCAGCCCCCTCTGCAAGGAAGTCTGCTCAGCATAGTTTGTGTCAGAATTCTGTTCCTGCCTCTGGTAAAGACAGGTCATCTGCTTTGCAGCTCCAACAGTCTCGTTTGCATTTAAACAGTCACAACAGGAAGAAGGCATGTCAAAACTCTTCTAACAAAACATACTCCGGGGACCTCCTTGACAAACACTCAGTTTGCTTCACAGAAATAAAACAAAAAACAAAAAAACCACAAATCTTAAAGACATCACAGCAATCTGTTCTCTTGAAGCACAGGTATTATAATCCTCCTCTCCCCAAAAAGATCTCATCTCCTGACAGACTATCACTTACATCAGCAGATATCAGTAATGAAAAGGACACAGAGTCACACAGGTACTTTGTTTATGCATCAGTTCTAAAAGTGAAAAATAAAATAATTTGACTTTCAAACATGACCCCTTTAAGCTGAAATAATTGGTTTTCATTGTGCTTTTGATCTTTCAGTTTTTTAGAAGACACAAATGTGAGACCACTCTCAGATAACTTCTCTCTCTGGACAGGTGAGGTTGGTATACTCAGCTTGGTAGAAAGAAAATGAATGGAACCCTTTATTCATACACAAAACTTGTGCTGCTTGTGTAGAAAAAGGATGAATTACATGATCTTTGGGAAGTGTGCATTAAGAGCAGTCACTAAGATCACAACTGAAGTATCTAACATGTGGCAATATAGGGTCAAAAGACCTGCAAACAAAATAGGAAAAGCTTAAGTAACTCTCTGAGAAACGTAAGTCAGGCATTATGAAATGTGAAAAACAGTATCTCAATTTTTGCAGTCATTTCACCTTTTGCTTCATTTACAGCCTTTTCACTTCACTGATCTAATGCTTTAGGGCCCAGAAACACCCAGGCAAAGGGCTAAGCACTCAGCCTACAGTCAGACTGCAGTATGCCATACAGGCCTGATGTGTGCTAGCACTCTGCTAGCTTGGATTATTCCATACCGTATTCCAACCACCAGACTTTCACTTTAAAATATCAGAAAAAAAGGTCCTAAATTCAATCACATTCCCATTTGATAAGCAAGGATAATTTCGGTATCAATCTCTTTGTAAGTCTTCTGTCTGATTTTTTATAGATATTTAGCACATCCTTTTAAAGGAAAAGGTACCCTATT